AGAGAGATTGATGATGATTCAATTGCAGACATTCTCTAAAAAGATAAACATTGTCCAAATATATGCACCAACTGCCGACAAAGATGAGACCGAGATAGACAGATGAAATAGCTTCAGAACAATATCGAGATAGACAGGTTCTATATGCAATTGAACTAAATCATAAGATCCACAAAAAAAGATGATATATTGTTGGTGATGGGAGATTTCAATGCCAAGGTTGGAAAAGGAAAAGTAGACGGATGTTGGAGGAATTTGGCTTGGGAGAAAGAAATGAAAGAGGGGACAGACTTGACGAATTCTGCCAAAACAAGGAGATGGTAATAAAGAATACAAATTTTAAATTACCTAAAAGAAGACTTTTTACTTGGAAATCACCTGCGGATTCAGAAGATAACATTGTTCGAAACCAGATAGATTACATTTTAATAAAATCTAGATATAAAAACGCTATAAAGTCTCTGAGAACATACCCTGGAGCTGACATAAATTTAGACCGTAATCCAATAATAGGCGTAATGCAGAAAAAATTAAAGAAGATCCAAAAACAAAAAAATATACCACGGTTTGATGTCTCAAAGATAAAAGAAGAACCTATACGTCAGAGCTTAAAACAAGAAATAAATGATAACTTAAAGAAAATCAAACAAGACGTGATAAAAACAACAGATGTTAATGACAAATGCAACATGGTACATTAAACTTTAATAAAGGCAGGAGAAAAGCTACTGCAGACAAAAATAAGAAAAAAAACAGAGATGGATGACCTTAGAAATCTTAGATCTAATGGAGGAAAGAAGAAAACATAAAGGCAGGAGTAAGGCAAAATACAAGGAACTACAGAGATTGATAGGAAAGAAAATAAAAGAGGCCAAATCCACCTAGCTTGCTAATCAATGCAGTGAAATAGAGGCATATGCTAAACAGTATGATAGCTTTAACATGCATACGAAAATAAAGGAATTGACAAATACACTGAGAAAATAAAGATGCCCTTTTAAAAGACGCAAATGGAAAAATCATTATAGAAATTGAAGAGAAATTAAAAAAATGGAAGACATACATAACAGATCTGTTTGAGGATAATCGACAAGAACCGGAAGAAATCGACAGCGAAACGGGGTCAAAGATCATAATGGAGGAAATGGAACAAGCAATACGAAACGCAAAAAACGGAAAAACTGTAGGTCCATACGAAATACCTGCGGAACTACTGAAATGTCTAGACGATGAAACTCTACCTGTACTTCGGAACCTATTTAATGAAGTATATAAAACTTAAAAAATCCCACAGGAATGCTTGGTGTCCACCTTTGTAGCAATACCAAAAACAGTATATGCCAACGATTGTTCAGACTATAGGACAATATCACTAATAAGCCATACCCTCAAAATATTTCTAAAGGTGATTCGTTCAAAGATTATATAGAAAACTAGAAAAAATAAGATGCTTAAAAATATACCTAGATATTTATTCCTGTTTCATCGACTTCGAGAAGGCTTTCGACAGGGTCCGGCATGAAAAACTAATAAAAGTACTGAGAAACAAAGATATAGACAGACGAGACTTACGAATCATTATCAATCTGTACTGGAATCAAAAGGTCAATATAAAGATAAAAAAACAAAAGTCCGAAAATATAGATATAAAGAGAGGAGTAAGACAGGGTTGTGTTCTGTCACCATTACTGTTTAACGTATACAGTGAAGCCATATTCCAGGAAGCGCTAGCGGATCTGGGTGATGGAATCTCTGTAAACGGAAGAATAGTAAATAACATAGAATTCGCTGATGATACCGTTATAATGGCAGACGCCCTGGAATAGCTACAAGAATTGGTAAATAGAATTAACGATTTTTGCAGTAGATACGGACTAAAAATAAATAAGAGAGAAACTAAATTTATGATTGTCTTAAAAACGCAACATGGAAATGAAAGGTTAATGATAGAGCAAACCCAAATAGAAAAAGTAGAGACATACAAATATCTAGGAACCTGGGTTGATGACAAAAATGACCAAAGCAGAGAAATCAAAGTTCGAATTGAAACTGCAAGGCAAGCAATTGTGAAAATGAAGACAATGCTTACCAACAAAGACCTTCAGTTGCATATCAGATTGAGGGCTCTAAGATGTTACGTATTTTCTATCTTACTATACGGAATGAAACCTTGGACATTGAAGAAACAACACATAAGAAAAATAAAAGCGTTCGAAATGTGGTGTTACAGAAGAATATTAAAAATTCCGTGGGTTCAAAGGATTACTAATGCTGAGGTACTACGGCGTCTAAATAAGAAGTTAGAAATTATGAGCAGCATAAAAAGAAGAAAACTAGAGTATTTTTGTCACATAAGCAGAGGAGAAAAATATGAGCTGCTGAGAATTATTATGCAAGGATGGATCCAAGGAAGAAGACGCATCTCTTGGCTGAGGAACCTTAGAGAATGATTTAACTGTAGTTCACTACAACTTTTTAGAGCAGCAGCCAACAAAGTGACCATAGCCGTTATGATATCCAACCTCCAATGGGAGATGGAACTTTAAGAAGAAGAAGCAATCTACTCGATTGGTTTAAAAATGTAACAACGTAATTTTGGCTCTATGTGATCGCGCATTATATTATTGAAAAAGTGGAAAGCAGAATATCCATATAACAAGCAAAACATGTGGATGCAGCACCTTTTAGGTATAATGCACAGCGATCGTGTTAGCTCTGATTAATACTAAAGATGGCCGGCTTCCAAAGGCAATAGCTATCCGTACCATAATTTTAATAGTGTGATGAACACGTCCTTCTCAACAGTATTCCATTCGAGGTGCCCAGTTCAGCTGTTCTCTGCATCAAGCCAATCCATTATTTCAGTGCCTAAAAGTAAAATGTTCACTATTGTGAACTTGGCAACGTTAAGGTTTGGCAGATATGATACCTTACAGATGAGGGCGGCCTATTAAACGTCAAGTGACGTCAATAGGTGACGATTTTGCGTACCTCAACATTTTGTTTCAGCTATTTACATAGAGGTTGTAACAGTTGTAAGATTTTGACAATTTTTTTACTCTAAATATTATTCTGGCTTTAAAGATATTGACGTAAAATCAAGTGTGCTGTACAGGCTGTAAATAAGTAATAAACTATGATAATCTCAGGTATTATAATTAGCATTTACCATTCGCACAATATATATGTCTGATGTTTGTAAGAGAATTTGATGAAATGGACATTAAAAAATTGCATATTTCAAATGATTGTCAAATTTAGCAGTAAGAATTTTTGAGAAAAACTGAATTGGTTGTTCCTGTAATATTTTTTTAATAATTGTAAAATTTTTTAGGTTTAAATTAGTAGCCATTTAAAGTGACCTGGGAAGCAGCAATAGATCACTTTATGATGAACTGAATATTAGTCATACTAACACATGGTTTACAAATCCAGCATTACAAATCCATTACAAATAATCAAATATATTTATTTTTAGTGATGTGCCTTATTTAATAAAGTTTATTAGAAACCATTTTGTCGACCAAGGGTTTGTGCTGAATGGGAAGGAAATAAACAAATCTATAATAGAAGAATATAAGTGCCAGATGTTTGCATTTCAATAATGACCTAATGCTGATGAATGAACTATGCTCTTGGACTGGCAGAATAGATAACTATTGCTTTCAGGTATGTCCTAAACTTTCCATTTTGCGAGGTTTTGAATTTTCTATTTTTTTTAGGTGCTCCTCACATCTATTTTACCTTTCATCCATCGATATGTTTTGACGTTGACTACAAATATTTCTTCGGTTTTGCAAATAGAACATAATAAATACATTGTTATTTAAAGCTAATAAAAAAAAACAAAACTGACTGATGTATCAACGCAGATAGCAAAACTTAAGTGGAAGTTCGCTGGACATACCATAATACAGAAAGACAACAGATGAAATATGATGATTACATACAGAAGACCATATAGTTAAAAACGAAAAACAGGAAGACTACAAATGAGATGGTCAGATAACTTTAAGAAACACGCAGGCCCAAAGTGGATACAAACTGCCTACAATAGGGAGACGTGGAAAAATGAAGAGGAGGCCTATGTCCGAAATTGGACAGCAAGGGCTGTGTAGATAGATAGAGAAAAACTGTTTTATTAAATGTTTTCCATTTTTTATTTAACCCAAAAACCTATTAAATCTTCATCATCAGAGTAGGGTGAGTCTTGGCTGACTGCACAAGTTTTCTTCAATTTGTTCGATCTTCCATTAACCTAGGGTCAAATGGAATGTTCATTTTCCGAAGATCTGCTTGGATGATATCTCTCCATCGCATTTTGGGACGTCCAAGTGGCCTTTTGCCTGTGGGAATCTCCTCCCATACCAGTTTTACAAGTCTCTCATTATACAGTCTGTGCACGTGGCCTGCCCATCTTAGTCGCTGTGATTTAATTTCTTGGACAATATCGGCGTCATTGTAGAGTGATTTTAATGAGATATTGTTTTTTATCTTATACTGGTTTGTGGTGATGTCATGGTGAGGTCCAAAAATTTTTCGTTCCAAGCGTCTGAACTTTTCCTTGTTTGCTTTAGTCATGGTCCAAGTTTCGCATCTGTATGTTATTACAGGTCTGACGATGGATTTTTAGATTTTGATCTTTGAACTTCTTGTAAGATTATCTTCGTCAAATAACCTTGAAACATTTCCAGTTCACAATCAACACTTACAAAATACATTTAAGTTCTACGCCGAATTAAACCGAAATTTAACCTTGAGACATTCCTCAACTAACTTCAGAAACGTAAAAAAATAGAAGGCAATTTCTAACACATACATAAATTCTTTCCTGGGAATCTTGAATGTGTACAAAGAGACAAAAACTCAGGGGCGTGCTACAAAATTTTATACCTAAATAATTTTATAGTTAAAACAAATTTAAAACGCTACAATATCATAAAAAAAACTCCTGCTGCTAACCTATACTGAATAAGTAAACTTTTGAAATATTATTATACTTACACTACTCTTCCTCTCCCCATCGTATGCAAACCTTTCATAGCACCATGAGAGAATTCGATAGCTAAATCAGGGCTACAATTTGGATCATAGTCATTGGAACACGCACTATATGGATATATTAATCCAGCATCTATCATATTTTGTTTTCCCAAAACAAAAGGCAATACTTGATAAAACATAATGTGCTGGTATACAGCAATATGAATGTGTCTGGCTTCCTGGTAGATTTTTTCATCATCCCAACATGTATTAATATTTCTAAGAATATTTGCCATTCTATTATGCTCTCTGGCAGCTACTGTTAAAAATGCTGTAAAATCTGGCAACCTGTTACCATTGGGATCCGCTAAAAACCAAAATAATAGCAACAAACTAAAGAATTTTAAAATATAATAGGTTTTCACTAACTTATCTTTATATTAACGTAAAGTAATTAAAGAGTAGGTTTTAACTACAGTTATAAATATTTACGGTACACTACACTTATTAAAAATATTTATGAACAGGCCCCATTCCACATCAAAATAAATGAAGACGAAAAAATTAAAAAATGCGTAAACGTATTAGACAAAGTGATACTATTTCACCAAAGCTTTTTACTTAAGCATTGGAAAATGTATTCAAACAGCTCGACTGGAAGCAAAAAGATCTAAGCATTGATGATGTAGTTTGATTGATTTGAGGTTTGCGGACGACATAGTATTATTTAGTACAGATATCAAGAAAATGGAGCAAATACTCAAGAAATTAAATCAGCAGTCAAATAAAATAGGTCTTAGAATGAACCTTCAGATAACAAAAATAATGAGTAAGTTACAAAACTAATATTGTTATTCACAACGTCAGTCATGAAAATGTGAATATATATATATATATATATATATATATATATATATATATATATATAATATATATATATATATATATATGTTTTCATTTCATTGTCATGAAAATGTGAATATATATGTTTTAATGTGTGTTATAAATGTTGAGTGTAAATGCTTATATAAATAATCTCAACGACTAGTAAGTTACACTGAATAATTGTGTATATTTTTTAAATATTTACATTTTTGTCTTATTACAGTGTCTTGAAAAAGGAATAAAACCATTCCGAAAGCTCGACAAAAAAGTCAAAAGAGTTTTTTAACATCCCGGCCATATTCTGACTGCAACCCTAATAAACTGTGTTATTTGTATATATATATATATATATATATATATATATATATATATATATATATCTTGGACATACCATTAAAATCGGCAGAGAAAACCAAATAGCCGAAATAAAAAGACACATAAAATTCTCTTGGGTAGCTTTCGGCAAATTAAGCTTTATCTTGAAGAATTTAAATATACCAATGTGTCTAAAACGTAGAGTTTATGACAAATGTATCTTGTCTGTAACTACATATGGAGTGGAGACCATGAAGAAATCCTTCTGAGACCAGCTCAGAACAACCCAAAGAGCGGCGGAGAGGGCCATGCTAGGGATTATTTTGAGAGACAGGATTCGATATATCGACATTCGTGAAAGAACAAAGATTACTAATGTCGCAGAACGTATAGCAAGGCTTAAGTGGCAATAGACATGTTGTCCGAGATAATCCCCAAAAATGCACACAGAGATTAACAAACTGGAGACCAAGAGAGAACAGTAGGCATACCAGAGAAGAGGTGGGCAGAGGACATCAAAACGACAAATAAGTCGCGAGAGGCAAGCAGTGGATGAGAATTGTAAAGACTCGAAATCAATGGAAGCAAATGGAAGAGGCCTATGTCCAGCAGGAAACGAATACAGGCTGAAGAAGTAGAAGATAAACATTTGGTTATAAGAAATCTGTTTTTCAAATAAGTGCCTCATTTTCTCACACCAGTTTCCAACTTTAAATTTGATCGGATCGAAATGATTAAGAAATATTTTTGGGATTGTTGATTTTGGGCGAATATCACATTTTTCCACGAGTAAAACTGCGTACTGATCTTTCGATGCAAATAAAGAAGCTCAGCTTGTGAAAAATGCAATAAATTTTTGAAACAAAGTTGAACATGCGTATTACAGATATCGATCCGCTAGATAAATAAGAAAAGTAACTTTTGAACAGAAGTTTTTTGGTTTGGCAGCCTGTCGTCGTCCATTCTTTTCAATCCATGCCAAGTGGTCCAAAGGGGAATGTAAAAAATTTAATATTTTTTATTTTTCTACCTTTTATTCACTCTATAGACAGTACAAAATTGCATTAATTTTATTTAAAAAAAAATTATTTTGCCGATCGCCGCCGTTTTTGTTTCATAGTGTCGGTCATTTTCACGGAAAACATGGCTTCACTCTTTAGCCGATATTTTCACTTAGTTTTGTCCTAAAACAATAAATCAAAAACCAAACTGTTTGGAAAAGTATGCTCTTAAAAGATGGTTCATAGCATTATTTAATTACAAACTACGCCTGAATACCTTAACCTCAAAATTTGAAAAGGTAAACTGATAAAATTCAGCTTTCAGCATTTTTTTAACAATATAAGGCAAGCGGTAATGGTTTGTAATTTTTATATGTAAAAGACATACATACATACTTTAAATGAAAAAAGTTTGAGCATT